GGGACTAGAGCTCAGTGGCAGCCGAAGAGGGGAGGGAAGCAAGAGGAGAAGAGGCAAGGGGCACCTCCAGGGAGACCAGGAGAGCCGGGATTGCATCCTGAGGCTCAGCGGAAGACAGACACAGATGCAGGGAGCTGAAAGTGGAGGCATCCACTTGGGGAGGCACAGAAACAGGAGTGCACAGATATGAGCAGAGAAACAGGGAGATGGAGGGAGGGAGTAGAGGGGAGCCAGGGCCTCGGGGACCAGCGGGCCTCCCAGCCTCTCTCGGGGGACTGTGGTGTACAGGATGCTACTGTACTGGGGCAGAGCACCTCTGGGGAGGCTGAGGATGTGGGAATCAAAGGCCAGCTCTCTGGGGCGGCAGCGGAAGCCCCAGGCACTAAAGCAAACAGCAGCTGGAAACCCATAGCCTCTTCCTCCCAGCCGAGCCCTGGCGTGGGTTGGGGCAGGGCAGGGAGCTGGTAGCAGGGGCGGGTGACCCCAGCATCACAGAGTGGGGAAGAAAAAGTGGCCACCACTTGGGGAGGGGCAAGAATGACCCCTATTTCTATCTATTGCTCGGCCATTGGAGCTGACTTGGGACCCCAGGGAAGGGCTATCCCACCTGGAGAGTCCCCAGCCTCTGCTCACTGAGGCCGCAGTGAATGTAGGATGGGGGCACAGAGGGAAGCATTCCCAGTGTGAGAGTGCCCTGCCCGCCCCTAAGTGCCTCCGTGGCCCGCGCTGACTTGTAAACAACTTCACCTGTGACGGAACCTCCTTCCTGCCCTCTTCTCCTCCTAATTCACTGGTTTAAAAAAATTCTGTCAAGCCCCTACCCTGCGTTAGGCCCTGAGTCATTCTTCTTTCATGCAGAGCGAGTGACCGGAGGGGGCTTTTTTTTTTTAATTTCCCTCAAACATCATTAGGAGGACCAAGCCTCCAGCACCCATCAGAGTCCTGAAGGGGCAGGGCCGACACGGTGACTCTGTTGTTGTTGTATGTTGTTGAGGGGGGAGATAATTAGGTTTATTATTTTTGTTGATTTAAATGGAAGTACTGGGGATTGAACCCAGGACCTGGTGCGTTCTTAAGCATGCACTCTACCACTGAGCTATACCCTCCCCCAACATGGTGATTCTGGAACCCAGCAAGGGTTTGAGCTTCAGGTAGGGAGCCACCTGACGAGAGTTGTAGTCCACGGTGGACACGGGGAGAAGCGGCGGGGGTCGGGGGTGTATACAGCCAACGCTAGAAAATATGCCCAGAGCTGGAAGAGGATAAGGAAGAATTCCCTAACCTTTTCCCCCAACCCGGCCCTCCCATCTCTTCTGGGTGTTTCTCAGTGGCCGACCCCAACCAGGTGCTGGAGGGTGAGGGGGCCTGGGCAATGCAGTGTGTAGGGGTCAGCCTCCTCCTTGCGGGGAGCCGGACAGAGAGGACGGAGAATGCCTGCGGGTGGGGTGGGGGGAGGTGGTGAGCACGGACTGGGATGACTTGGCTTCGTGCAGGCTGGTGTTCATTGTGTCCCAACACGTAACTGACCCATTTTAGTAACAGAATTGATATATCTGAGTACAGAAAAAAGTCGTCAGTGAGTTTCCCTCTTCCGTTCAATTCAATTTGGTTTAAGTTAACCAAACACATCCTGAGACCCTTCTCTGTGCTCCAGCTGGTGCCACAGCTGGCACTGCTGGCTGGACCATCATCTCCAAGAGCTGGTGAAGGAGAGGTGGGAACCCAAATCACTGCAACGTAAGGTAGCGGGTGGGCACGCCCAAGACGGTGTCCACTGCTGGGGGCTGTGGGAGGCCATAGTGCGATCACTGCTAAGGAGGTCTCCAGGAGAGAGAAAGACCAGGCTTGGGGGTGCAGAAAAGAGGTCTGAATGCACAGGCTCTGGGCCAGGTCTGTGCCAACACTGTCCCCAAGGCCGGTGCCGCTCTGAGGTCTGCGAACAGTCTGGGCCTGGAGTTCAAAGATACTTGAGCCTGCTTCTGTTTGTCTGGTGGCCTTCCTTTAGTCTCTCCTCCCTCCGTGTCATCTGGTCCTGTTATCAGGTCAAGTTTCGTAAAGCTCTACAAAGACCACGTCACATCTCTGCTCAAAACATCAGCAGTGTTTGGGGAGGGTAGAGCGCGTGCTTAGCATGCAGGAGGTCCTGGGTTCAATCCCTAGTACCTCCTTTAAATAAATAAACCTAATTACTCCTCCCCACAGCCCCCCCCCCAAAACCCAGCAGAGGCTCAGTCTCCCTCAGAGCCAAGCCCAAACTCTCCTCTCTAGCTCTGTCAAGATTCAAGGTCAGTCTCCACGTGCCTGCCCCCACCCCTGTCATCCCCAACAACTTCCCTCCCCAGCCCTGCCACTTTGCATCTCACAGTGGGGCGCCGCTAGCTTTCCTTTCCAGCTGGCTCATTGAGCCTGCATCTGACACCCAGAGGTTTTGAAAACGCAGATGGCTGGACCCACCCCATTCCTGATTCAGCAAGTCTGGGGTGGGCCCGAGGAGTTGCCTTTCTCACAAGTTCTCCAGTGACGTCTGCTGCTGATCTGGGACCACACGCTGAGAGTCACAGCTCCAGCCTAATGCTGCCCATTCCTCCAGGTCCCCTCCCCCACAGCCTCACCCACCTTCCAAGATTTGGGGGCCAAGTTCTGCAACAGCGTCTTTCTGCTCTTCCCACCCAGAGTCCTTATAGGGTCGGTCTGACAGTGAGCAGGGCATCACTCCCGCCTCTTTCTCTGTCTCCCCTCACACCAAATCAGGCCTCATGTCCTGGGGATTTTTTACCTCAGAGCAGTCCCTCAAGTCAGCATCTTTGAGTTCCGGCCCTATCATGTCACCCGGATTCTTGCAATCCTGCCCCCTGTGCTTGGCCTCCTCCAGCTCATCATTCACTCAGCAGTGAGAGAATCCACCTTGCAAATCTACTCCTGTCCTTCTCTCCGTAAAATCTTCTACTGGCTCCCTAGTGCTCAGGGTCAAGGCTCAGCCTCCCAGCATGGCATTCAAGGGCCTTCATGACCTGGCTTGGCTCCTTGGGCCCAGTCCCCACTCATTTTCCACTTTGTCTGAGAATCTTTTTCTGATTCCACCAGGCAAAGAACGCACCCTTGGCCGGGGCACCGCAGGTTTGGGGCGAACCGGTGGGTGTCTGTTTAGAGGGCTTCACGTCTAGGCCCCAGCCTGGCTGTCTGGGTCTCTACGGGGCCGCAGGCCCAGTGAATGCCTGTTAATTGATGATTTGTGTCTCCCCTAGGCCCTGCCCTGTCTGCTGGGGAAGGTGCAGGTCCCTGCCTGCCTCAGCAAGGCCACAATGGACCTGGGAACCTCTCTTAGGCACCTGTTCCTGGTGCTACAACTGGGTGAGTGCTCAGACTTGGGGCCTGAGTGCCAGGTGGCCTGGGAGGAGGGGCTGAGTGGAAAATGCAAAGTGGGGGTGGGGTGGAGGCCGGACAGCCACACCTGGAGGCCTGACCCTGTCTTTTTCCACCTAGCGATGCTCCCAGCCGGCACTCAGGGGAGAACAGTGGTGCTGGGTAAGGCAGGAGACCTAGTGGAACTGCCCTGCCAAGCTCCTGAAGAGAAGAACTTGCCCTTCACCTGGAAAAATTCTCAGAACATAATTCTGGGGATGAGGGGCAAGGGCTCCTTCTCGATCAAAGGTAAGTTGGCTCTGCTCCCTGCTCCCCGCTCAGGGAGGACAGCACCGGAGAGTGAACACCTCTGGTGTCAGAGCCCAGCACCTCATAGTCTCTGGGATTCCGGAGGGTTCTGACTGGCAGAGACTCAGGGCCCTCTCCAAGTCCAGAGTTTCCCTCTGCCAACTGCTGGTGGACCGGGAAATGTTGTTTGGTGGTCTATTATAATTTCAATATCTTAATATTCATGGACTTGTTTCAATGGATATTAGGAAAGTAATTATCAAAGAAACTTCATGATTTCATGATTAGTGTTGCTACAGGCCCCTGGTAATACTCTGTTGACTTCCATTAAAAGCTACGGAATGATTTTTCCCTAGCTTTTTTAAAGTGAAAAGCATTAAGATCTCAATACATCTCAGGGACATGCTTTGCAATAAAGGAGATTATGTTTTCACGTAAGATTTACCCTCATGCTCGCCTTTAAATACCTCTTCTTTCTTCTGTGTGTGGCCTCTAAAATTCAACACATTTTTGAATAGGAGCATCATATGAGTCAAAAGTAGAAAAATGCCAGGGGGGCAGAGTATAGCTCAGGTGGTAGAGCACATGCTTGGCATTCACGAGGTCCTAGGTTCAACCTGCAGTACCCCCTCTAAAAATAAAGAAAGAAATAAATCTGATTGCCTCCCCCTGACAGAAAAAAAAAAGCCAATTAAAAAAAAAGTCACCAGCATGAAATGTATTTTTGTAAATATAGATTTTATTTTATAAGCTTATTAGATATATCATTTTTGCATTTCACCACTTATTTTTAATTAATTAATTAATTATTTAGTAGAGGTACTAGGAATTGAACCCAGGACCTTGTGTATGCTAAGCATGCACTCTACCACTGAGCTATACCCTCCCACCCCCATTGCTTATTTTTAATATTATATTTTTTAATTATGAAAAAGTCAAACATATATAAAAATAGATTATATAATGAACCCCTCCATGTATCCCACTCAGCTTGAACAGTGATCAATTTGTGGACAATTTAGTTTCACATCTATCTTTGACCCTCCAACCACCTTATTATTGTATAGCAGATACCAAACTTGTCTCATTTAATCTGTAAATATTTCAGAATGTGTCTCTAAAATGTAGTGACTCTTTAAAAAAATGTATCCACAGTATCATTATCACCTCTTAAAAATTGAAAATAATTTCTTAATGACAATAAACATCCAGTGTTCAAATTTTCCCAATGGCCTCATAATACTATTTTTAAATTTAGTCTATTGGAATCAAAATCCAGATAAAAATTCATGCATGGTATTTGCTTGATATGCCCCTTAAATTTTCTTGAATTTATACATTTATTCTCCTTTTTTTCCCCCCTTCTTGCAACGGATTGTTGAAGAAACCAGGCAATTGTTCTGTTAAGCTTTGTGTGTTGTCAGTAGGAGCTGCTGCACTCCTGTGGTGTCATTTAACATTTCCTCTGTCCCTTGAATCTGCTATAGATTGGTGGTTAGATCTAGAGGCTTGTTCAAGTTCATATTCAATTTTTGACAAGGTGGTGTTTTGTGCTACCAATTTCATTACATCAGGAGCCGTGTAGTATCAATCACTCTTTTAGTGCTATTAAGATTAATCAGTGGTTCAAGCTGAGTTAAGTGATAATTATAGTAACATTATTTTTGTTTGTTTGTTTTTCGGTGAGGAGGTAATTAGATTTATTTATTTATTTTTGGAGGAGGTACTGGGGATTGAATCTAAGACTTCCTGCATGCTAAGTGTGCAACATACCACTTGAGCTATATACCCTCCCCACAGTAACATTATTTTTAGTTTTATTTTTCAACAGTTGCTGCTGTTTCTATCAAGTGATACTGGCTTTCAGCTTATTACAGTGATATAAAGTTTCCTTTTAAAATAAGTTAATTTTTTAAAAAGTGAATCCACTTAAAGATGTTATGTAAATAGGACAGGTACATTTGGCCAAAATCATGCATGAGGGGAGGGAATAATTGACGTTTCGGAAATACAGCTCCAGTCCAAGACGCTGATTTTACTAGTGAGGAAGCTGGGGCCCAGGGAGAGGAAGTTTCTGCCCTGAGCTTTTGTGCCCAGTTAGAGGCAGAGATATGGCTAGATCTTAGCTGTGGCTATGGTCTTCCGACTTTCAGCCTAGGCTCTGCTGTGGAGTCATCTTCAGTGCAGTGGAAGCTGAACTGGCCACGGTGCATGGGAAGCCATCTCTGATGAAAATGCATCTCCCCTTCCTGCCTCCATTGGGGGGATAAAATCTCCTCCTTTTCTGGCAGGAGGTTCTTGCTGGGCTCCTGGAGTCATGATTCAGATACCCATGGTCACCCTTCAGGTCTGGACATGAAGAAAAAGGGGGAGATTGGGCTGGATCTTTATTGAATCAAAGCCATTTCCTAAAATTAACAAAACCCCCAATTCCTGATCTCTTTCTGATAAAAACACAAAGCAGAAACCAGCACATTAACCAGGCTGACTGCCCTTTACCTGCCTGTGTCTTCCCCTCCTTCAGACAGCTGCTTCAAGAGGCCCCTGATCAAACTAACCTGCGTCCGCCCCTGGGGTGGGCTCGGGGTGCCCATTACATAATGTATACCCTTGGGCAGAGCTCAGGACAATAATCTCTCAAAGCTTTTTTTTTTTTTTGTCCTAGAATTTTATTCTGCTAAACTGCTTGAAATAAGTGGACTTTCAGCTGGGATTTTATTTTATTTTTTATTAACTTAAAAGTTAAATTAATTTGCAAAAGTAATACAGGTCCATGGTAAAAATTTTAAATGGTGCTAACGACATACAGTGACAATAAATCTCCCTCCTACTCCTCATGTTTGTTCTTATAAGGACATTAATCCCTTCACCATCATGCCTCACCTAAATTTAATTACCTCCCAAAGGCTCCCTCTCCAAATATAATCGCATTGACTGTTAGGGCTTCAACATATGAGTTTGGAGGGGGACACAGTTCAGTCCATAGTAACATACTTTTCCCTATTCCTCTCACTAAACACAGCTGAAAACCCTGCACATTGCATGCAGAACTCACTTAAGAAGATTCTGAAGGGTGTTAAGGAGAGGGAAGTCTGGTAGGGACCTCAGGGCCTGAGGAACAGCACAGTGGTGAGTTTTCTTTTTGCCTCATATGCCCTAGTCTTGGGGCTGAAGAAGCTGGCAACCTGGAAGCTCCAGTGGGCACATGGGCACAGACAAAAATAACTTTCAAAAAAGCCTGCTCCCCTTAGCCAAAGGACCGGGAAAAGGAGCAACCCAGTGAGAAAAACTTCAAGACAATCACAAGTCTACTCCAGCCAAACAGGGAGGAGAAACTGTGGCCCCACCCCCTCCCATGGGAGCAAAGACTGAATAGTAGCCTAAACTTCCACCCTCCTGAGGCTGTAATGAGGCACCCAACGCCCCCACTGAGATGGGATCAGAGGATGCAAGGTTGAGAGCAGGGCCATTCATCCCCACCAGCCAGTGACAAGGCTCCTCAACCCCTGCAATGTCAGTGGAGACCATAGGAGGGAACTGGCCTGCCGCCCCCATCATGCAGTCAGGAGGCAGCCCTCCTTGCTGGGGTGGTGTCAGAGGGTCTAGCGAAGAGTTAGGACTTTCACCATCACCCAGTGATAACCAGGCCACCTCCACCTCAGGGTCCATGGAGACCATGTGGGGAGCTGGAACTTCCACCTCTGAGTTATGAGGAGCATCCCCTTCTAGCACAATGGAGGATGAGAGGGGAACCCAGATTTATTCCTCTTCCCTTGTCAGAGTGGTGTCCAAGAGAGCCAGTTAAAATAGAAGGTTTAAATAAGATCCAGAATCTCATAACACTCAAATGTTCAGATTCCCACTGAAAATCACTTGTGATATTAAGAACCAGAAACATCTCAAACTGGATGAAGAAAAGAATCAACAGATGCCACACTGAGATGAAAAAGAGATTAGAATTATCTGACAAAGATTTCAAAGCAGTCATGATTAAAAAAAAATCCTTCAGCAAGTAATTACAAACATGCTTGAAACAAATGAAAAACAGAAAGACTCAGCAAAAAATAAATAGAGGATATAATTGAAAAAATGGAAATTTTAGAACTGAAAAATATTTATGTAGAAAATCTTAAGGAATCTACTTTTAAAAATTTCTTAGAACTAATAAGTGAGTTCAGTAAGGTTACAGAATATAAGATAAACATACAAAAATCTAATGTAATTCTATCTACTAGCAATGAACATGTATACACAGAAATTTAAAATACAATGCCATTTACAATTGCTCAAAAATACTTAAGTATATATTATAAATATGCACAAGATTTGTGTTCTTAAAACTACACAGTGTTGATGAAAGAAATCAGAGATCCATATAAATGGAGAGACATGCTATGTTCATAAATTGGAAGACTCTACACAGTCAAGATACCAATTCTTCCCAAACTGATATACAGGTTGAACACAATTCCTATCAAAATTCTATCAAGATAAACAAACAAACAAACAAACAAACAAAATTCCAGCAAGATTTTTTTGAAGATACAGATAAGGTTTTTCTAAAATTTATATTGAAAGCAAAAGGAACTCAAAGAGCTAAAACAATTTTGAAAAAGAAGAATAAAGTAGGAGAAGTCAGTCTATCTGCTTTCAAGACTTATTATACAGATAGAGTAATCAACACTGTCATATTGGCAGAGGGAAAGACACATAGATCAGTGGAGCAAAATAGAAAACCCAGAAATAGATCCTCAGAAATATGCCTAACTGATTCTTTTTTGCAAGGGTGCGAAAGCAATTTAATGGGGGAAAGATAGCCTTTTCAATAAATGGTACTGGAGTAATTGGACATCCATAGGTAAAAAGCAAAATCAACAACAACAAACCTTTGACCTAAGTCTCAAACCTTACTTTATTTTACTTTTTATTTTTGGTACTGGGAAGTAATTAGGTTTATTTAATTTTGGAGGAGGTACTGGGGATTGAACCCAGGACCTTAT